ATGTTTCATTACAGACGTTCCTATGGATACACCTGATAGTGTTGCTGATGTTTTAATTACAGATGTTACTGTGCATACACCTTGATAGTGTTGCTGATGTTTCATTACAGATGTTACTATGGATACACCTGATAGTGTTGCTGATGTTTCATTACAGACGTTCCTATGGATACACCTGATAGTGTTGCTGATGTTTCATTACAGATGTTACTGTGGATACACCTGATAGTGTTGCTGATGTTTCATTACAGATGTTACTGTGGATACACCTGATAGTGTTGCTGATGTTTCATTACAGATGTTCCTATGGATATACTTGATACTGTTGCTGATGTTTTAATTACAGATGTTACTGTGCATACACCTGATAGTGTTGCTGATGTTTCATTACAGATGTTACTATGGATACACCTGATAGTGTTGCTGATGTTTCATTACAGATGTTCCTATGGATACACCTGATAGTGTTGCTGATCTTTTCATTACAGATGTACCTGTGGATACACCCTGAGAGTATCGCCGTACCATTCAAATTCAGACACCAATATAAATTTTCATCCACGCTGTCTGAAAGGGTAAGAGTCCCTTCTTTTTCCCGGACAAGAGCATGGTGATTGCTGGTGGGGAGGGAAGGGGAGGGGCACGCGGCGGAGGGTTAATGGGGGGCCAATGGGTGATGGACGGAGACCTGACTTGGGGTGCTGAGCACACCTACAATATACAGATGATCTACTAGAGAATTGTACCCCTGACACCTACACAATTTTATTAGGCGATATGACCCCTAATACATTCAATAAAAATGAAAATTAAATTAAATTAAAAAGTAAAAGAAATATTTTTTCATCACCTAACTTATGGGAAACACAACCAACCACTGGCTCTCTTTCACAATAGACGTATTCATCCCAAAATTCAAAATACGTAACAGGGACAAAGATCTCCCGTTTCCTTTGTGTGTTTCTCCCTCCCGCGCCCCCCGTGTGAATTCTCGGCAAGCTCATCACCTGATAAACCAACGCCCGGTCAACGCATTGGGTAATGGAATCCACTCTCGCTCCTTTCCGAAGGCTCTCACAAATGAGACGCCACGGCCTAGACACGTACGTCTTCGGGGGTCAGGAATCCAGGCAGCGGGCCAAGGAAACGTAGGGGCCGGTCACCTCTCCGCAAAATAAATCGAATTACGCCCGCTGGATGTCGACGCGGGGCCACGCCGAGCAAGTTAGCAGACGACAGGCGGCCTCGGTAATTAATCTTCACGTGCAAATCGGCGCTCGTCCTCTTAACGGCTTAAAAATGTTCCTTTGTGAGACAGAGCCCAGTGAGATAATCCACGCAAACGACCCGGTCAACGAAGGCAGGAAATAAATATCTGAAAATTTGTGATGTCCTGCCGCCTCTTGCAGCGACTCGCGTTTGTCGTTGTCATGGGAAAGCAGCCACAGAAAACGGGTGAATAAGTGCATGTGGCTGCGTGGCATCCACGTGGTCTTTTTTTGCAAAGTCAGGTGGCCGCACGCACGATGAATCCGGCCCGTGGGGCATGCATAGCGTCCACTTCGGCCACACATCGCCTCTTGGAGGCGAACACAAGCCCTGGCTGGGTCTCTGACTTTCCCAAAGACCACGTCCGTCCACAACCTCTGTGGCTCCGTGGATGCAGTGGCACGTGGACGTGGGACCAGGCGGCCGCAAGGAGCACCTGCACCCTGGATGCCTGGCTGAGCAAATACCGCAAATCCACTCGCCAGACTCTCTTCCAGGATGCTCGGCGAAGAAAATCAATGTCGACATCAGGCTCCGGCCTCCCGGCTCCGATACCTGGTTCCCTCCGCCTGAAACCTCACGCCCCCGTCAAGCAATGACTGTCCTGCAGGTTTCACAGCGGCCGGGACGCTCCGAGGCCGGAGCTCAGGCTGGTGCAAGACGTGCCCGAATCCCCCCAACGCCCTGCACTGTCGCCTGGGCTGCATGGAACGGAGGCTGCAGGGAGCCGTGAATCTTGCCCTGACGTGATCTGCAAGGGAAGGGACAGGTCGGCCTTCGCCCAGGCGGCCTGACCGTGAGAACACGCTCGCTAAGAATCCAACCGACGGGTGGGTACGTGTCTAAGCCGTCCTTTCGTTAACGTCAGGGCCTCAGACAGAGAAATTCCAAGAAGGAGGGGTATTGGTGGTGCCTTCGGGGCTGCAGGACTGAAGGCGAGATTTTCCTACCACCCGAGGGCACCCGCCTCCTGCCCCCAATTCAACATCTCACACAAAAAAGCCCCGGGAGTAGCCGAGGATGACTCCCTGGGCCTCGCGGACATTCCCGGACAGACCACTGCCCGCCTCCTGGCCAGCCCCTTGCTCACTGCCCGACAATGCCACTCTTTTTTTTTTTTTTTAAATACTCTTTTTAAAATATATTTTATTGATTGTTTTAGAGAGGGACAGAGAGAAAAGCACCAATAATGAGAGGGAATCACCCATGGGCGGCCTCTTGCACGCCCCCAGCGGGGGACCAGGCCTAAAACTTGGGCAGGTGACCTCACTGGGAGGCGAACCGGCCACCTTTGGGTGTGCAGGGTGACGCCCGACCAACTGAGCCACCCCGGCCGGGGCCCAGCAATGCAAATCTTGCCGAGCCTTTCCCCTGAATAAAAGCACAGGCTGAGAGGTGCTCAGATTTAATGTAACGTCCCCCAGCTCCGCTCCCTCAACGGGCTGAGCCTTGGGCAAAGCTGAGGCGGTCGCTGGGCCACGTAACGGACATGCCGGGCACCGTCGGTTATACCCTGGGCCGGACAGCTCCCCCCAACCCCTGGTCAAGGTCCCAGCTCGAGTCACAGGGTCCGTGACTTGCCAGGAGCTGCGCTGGCCGGTCCCAGACGTCTCTCCGGGGGGCCACACGGACCATTCGCCGTCCGCGCAATGCCACTCACAGGGCCCGACGCCCACAGAACAACCACGACCGATACAGAAACGGACTCCGAGGAGTTGGCCTACGGCCTACACGGAGCCAATCACCCCCATTTCCACGCCCATCCGTCCCCCTGAGCTGCGGGGCGATGTCCCGGGGAAATGCCGGTCCCCCCTTTGCTGGCCCTGCCTGGAGACAGCCTCTCCGGAGAGAAAGCCAACGAGCAGGACAGAAAACGGACCCAAAATGCCCGGTTCCTTCGGACAATGATTCAGGTCTGCGAGACACGTTTTTATTCTTTTAATTTTTTTTTAAATATGTTTTTATTGATTTCTGATACGTTTCAAATATGTTTTCATTGCTGCCCCCGACTGGGGATCAAGCCCGCATCCCGGGCCTGTGCCCTGAGCGGAAATCGAACCCGTGACCGCCTGGTTGCCAGGTCGACGCTCAACCGCGGAACCACGCCGGCCGGGCTGGGTGTTCACTTTTTGATGGAATAACTGATTGCATCTCAAAACAGATGAAGCGGAACACATCTCAAAGCGTCCATTCAAAGCTGAGGTCAGGAAATATTAAATCGGTTGCAGACATGGAAAGTGAATGACACTTTCCAGACGAACAGCGTCCCTTGGCGACAAGTGAAGATACGCGACGCGTCCTGGAGGTAAGATCGGGCAGAAGTAAATAACGACCTTGAAACCCGCCTGATCTTATTACCTAATGTCATTGCAATAAATGAAAAACATTAATTAATGAGGAAAGAACAAATACGCGAGCAGACTGTTTGCAGCTGAAATGTCTCTCCTGGACGGCGTTGCGTGATATTGCTCATGGTCTACGCCGGACAGCAAACTGGGTTTTTAACACATTCTAGACAATTTGGATTTGTTCTCATTGAGAAAAAAAAATCTCTAAATTACGAATGGAACAAGCTTAAACCGTATGTATTAGACAATGAAAAATGTAAGAGAAACGATCTTCTTTCCAGAAAGTTTGTTTCTTTCTAAATTACCCAGACAAATATAATCCCTACTAACGAAAGAGACTCTTCTAATCATATACAATTTTGTAAACCCTGAAATAAGAATATTATTCTACGTTCAAATTGGTGAGGTCTTTTCAGGCCTGTTATGGGAAACCCGCTCTGGTTTGACCCTGTTCACGAAATCCTAAACCCTTTCCAGCTACTCCTTGGCGGGAGATATTTATTTAATCACCTTCCGCAGTGACCTTCACCTGCAGACTGCATTCACGCGTCCAGCCCGCCGATGAAAACGGGAACCGTTTACTCATTTCGACGCCGTTGCATCCTGATGTTTACGGTTAAAAAGCCCTGTCTCACGGTGGCCGCTCAGCTGAACGCGTCGCCTGTCGTTGCCCCTGTCTCCCCGTGTCGGGAACGATGACCCCTTGGTCCCTCCCGGCTATTGAGTGGCCCCTTCGGCGGCTGTGGTAAACGACGGTGTTATCAGCAACGCGCGTTGACCATGGGCCGGATTGATACACATACTAGGCCCAAAATGCACGCTCACGGTCGGTAAAATGTTCGTTTTTCTGGCCTACCATGTACTGCGTTCCACCAATGTGCTGCCAGGGGCGTGACGTGAGCAGGATGGACGCGCACGTCTCAGGGCCCCATGTGGATAAATGAATATACTTGGAACCTCCCAACGCAGCTTCATTTTACACCCAGGGAAACCGAGGCAAGTACAAGCCCATGAACTTTCCCATAACCCCTCAATTGGGACGGAGACAAGCTGGCATTTGAACCTAGGCTGGCAAGTTCTTGGCCATTCCTCTGAGCCGGGCAGGACGAGTAAACGAAATTTATATATAAAAGGGGAGGGAAAAGGGATCTGCACCCCCCGCGATCACTGCAGCATTATTCACGGGAGCCCAGGGAGGGAAGCAACCCAAGTCTTCATGGACGGAAGAGCCGATAAAGAATATGTGATAAAAAGCTGTGGTACGTCTACGCCGTGGAATACTACGCAGCTGTGAAAAAGGTGGATCTCGTCCCCTTTGGGGCAGCAGGGAGGGACCTGCAGAGTCTTATGCTGAGTGAAATAAGCCAGGCAGAGAAAGACAAATGTCCCAGGATCTCACTCATATGTGGAATCTAATGAACAAAATAAACTGATGAACAAAACAGATCCAGAGACGTGGACGCATGGGGCAGACGGAGGGAGCTCAGAGGGAAGGCGGGAAGCAGGGCAGGAAGAGATGGACTTATAAGCAGATAGGAGCAGCCCCGGGACACAGAGAATGGGCCGGTGGGGGCCTGGGGCGGGAGATGGACAGACGGGGGGAAGGGGGAGGAAATGGGGGGCATCTGTAATACTCTCCACAATAAAATAAATTTTAAAACAAGCATGTCTTTAAAGGATAGAGAATCACTTTGCCCGGAACAGATCAGATCCTGAGGCCTGGAGGAAAGGAACAGAGAGCCAAAAGGAGTTTGCAGACAGGGCGACAAGCAAGACAGGGACATGTTCAGAGACACGGCCGCCATCAAGAGGGAAATTTTGTGCAAAGAAGGCAATTTGCATGTTTTGCTATGTAGAGGTCACTCAGTGACCCCTACTCTCGAAATCTGTAGATGCCCAAGAAAAACGAAATGTCCGTTTCTTCCCTGGGTAACATCTGTCTATCTTTGTGTGTTTTTATTTTTATTTATTTTTTTAATATATCTTTATTGATTTCAGAGAGGAAAGGAGAGGGAGAGAGAGAGAGAGAAACACCAATGATGAGAGAGTCACTGATCGAGCCCGCAACCCGGGCATGTGCCCTGACCGGGAATCAAACCCCGATCGCCTGGATCCTAGGTCGACGCTCAACGGCTGAGCCACGCCCGGCCGGGCTCTTTGTGTGTTTTTAAATCCTCATGCAAGGATATTTTTTCATTGCTTTTCAGAGAGAATGGAAGAGACAGAGACACAGAGAGAGAGAAACGTTGATGTGAGAGAGACACATCCATGGCTTGCCTCCTGCACACGCCCCGGTTGGGACCAGAGGATTCATCCTGCAACCAAGCTACATGCCCTTGGCCAGAATCGAACCCGAGACCCTGCAGTCTGAGGGCCGACAAGCTGTAACCACTGAGCCAAACCAACCAGGGCCCGTGAATCATTTTTAATAGGTATTTATTAGGATATTTTAATAGGATATTTAGTCGGACTTGCTAGGAGGCTGTTAACACAGTGAACACCCCGTAGAGCCGACGTCTCCAACACGCCCGACGTCTGCCCGGCCCTGGGAACCAACTCATTTTCTCTCTGGTGAACATGACGGGGACGCAGCCAATTTTAACCACCCTGCGTTAGGACGGACTTCTCGAGACAGAAAAGGAAGCCAGTGAACTGGAATCTCAGAGCGGAGATGGGGTCCCGAAGGCCCAAACCCCACCTTTCAGCAACGGCTTTGCTTCCGACGAGGGCGCTCGCTTTCCTGTGAAATCCCAGCCGTAAGAGAAGGCGGGAGAACTCGGTAGGAGCTGTGTCTTGCTGCTGCAACAAGTTGCCACAAGCGATCTGGGACAACAGAGCACACAGGAATTATCTACGACGTTTCTATTTCCACGGCTTTTCCATCCCCCGCAGCAGGGCGGGGAACCTTTCTTCGGCCAGGGGCCATTGGGGTATTGATGACGTCACTCGCAGGCCATACAGAAAATCAACTTAAAAGTTAGCTACGAAAAAGAAGCGCCTGGATGTATTGGATTTCGAGTCCTTGGCAGGGCCGGACCAGGTGATTTCTCAGACATATAGGGCCCTGGGGCCGGACCTGCCCAACCCATGCTCTAGCCCCGATTCTCGAAGCCAGCGACGGCCAGTTCTACCTTCTGACATTCCTTCACTCCGATTTATTCCCCTCCTTTGCCGTTTTCCACAACTTAAGGGTGTTTGCTATTCAGTATTGCCCCGCTGGTGCGGCTCAGTGGTCGAGCATTGGCCTGTGAAGCAGGAGGCCCAGGTTCAGTTCCCGCTCAGGGCTCGATCCCCAGCAGGGGGCGAGCAGGAGGCGGCCGATCAATGACTCATCATCCATGTTTCTCTCTCCCTTCCTCTCTCTCTAAAACAAATAGAAACATATTTTTTTAAAAATTTTAAATNCCATGTTTCTCTCTCCTTCCCCCTTCCTCTCTCTCTAAAACAAATAGAAACATATTTTTTTAAAAATTTTAAATTGAAATATTAAGCCCCCCAGATAATGCAGATTATATTCCTCTTAGTTTTCATTTATTTATTTATTTATTTTATTATTATTTTTTCTATTTTTTTTTTTTAATATATCTTTATTGATTTTACAGAGACGAAAGGAGAGGGAGAGAGAGACACAAACATCAACAATGAGAGAGTCATCGATCAGCTGCCCGGGCATGTGCCCTGACCGGGAATCGAACCCTGACCACCTGGATCCTAGGTCGATGTTCAACCGCTGAGCCACGCCCGGCCGGGCTCCTCTTAGTTTTTAAAAAATATGTCTTTATTGATTTCAGAGAGAGGAAGGGAGGGAGAGGGAGAAACATCAATGAGGAGAGTCATGGATCGGCCCCCTGCTGGGGATCGAACCCACAACCGGGGCCTGTGCCCTGACCGGGAATCGGACCCTGACCTCCAGGTTCATAGGGCGATGCTCAACCACTGAGCCCCACCAGCCAGGCAGAATTCAGAATTTTAAATATGCAGCCTTACCGTCTGCGCTGTTAATTAAATGCACGGATGTGCATTCAGATACACGCGAAAGGAAAACCTCTGGGGGAATCAGTAAGACGCCGTAACGTTAACGTTTACCGCGAAACTGGGCTCTATCCTTTTGTGAATAACTAATAATTCAATATCTACGCCTGCACATGGATTGTCAAATCGATTTAGTATTTAAAAACAAAAACAAACAAACAAAAAACAACCACCCCTGGCCCGACAGACGCCGATTTGTGGTTTGCGCAAATACACAGATGCGTCGCCTCCAGCCCTCACGAGCAAAATTGCGACGTTTACAGGTTGCGGGGAAATCAATTCCACCTTTTAAGCCCCTATTACCTGCCCGGTTCCCTTGTCAAGGTCCGGGTGAGATATCGTTCGCAAAAGCCGTCTAAAAAATACATAAATATAAGAGCGAAAGGGTGGCACTGGGCTGATTGTTTCTGCATTTTTATGCTCCCCAATCCCTGTTCAATGCGGAGCCACAGCGCAGTAAATGAAGCGATCGTTCAGGGCTTGGGTGCGCACAAGTGCGCGCCGACACCTCCGTAATCAAGGAAACGATTGATCTTCCCTCCCGGGTGGGCTCGGCCGCCCCTATCGGGAGGTTTTCTGTCTGAATCGCAGGCAGCCGTTCCTGAGGTTAACTCCGCAGACCCCAGCGCGGCCAACGGATTACAAAAGACATTTCAATCCTTCACCCGGTTTCTCTTTTTTCCCATTTCTTCCTGTCTTTCCTCGTTTTAAATGTACTTTTATTTAAATGGCTCGTTAGGAGGACGATCGCCGGCCGGTTGGCTTGTGAAACGAGAGCCCTAATTGCGTCTGGGGGCCCCTCACTCACCCCCTCGTAGGCCCACAAAGCAGCTATTTGGGGATTTTTTTTTTTCCCGCCACCGAGTCAGCTCAGGAAACGGTAAGAAACAGAGTCCGAGGGTCAGAATCACACTGAGAACCACAGTCTCCAAGGTCATTGCTCTGTGGCCACAAGGACACGGGCCACACGCCAGGACCCACGAATATAACGAAGCACAGTGGTTGTGTTTCCTCGCGTGGGTGTCCCCTGTGACCCCCAGAACAGACGCCCTGGCCGGGCCTGGCGCCTCCTCACTTCCCCTTATGAGGCCTTTTAGCGCCTACGATTCACGGGTGGGGAACCTTTTATCGCCCGAGGGCCATTTGGATGTTTCTAAGGTCATTCCAGGGCCATACAAAGCGATCAACTTAAAAATTAGCTATAGCCCGGCCGCCGTGGCTCAGCGGTTGAGCGTCGACCTAGGATCCAGGAGATCGGGGTTCGATTCCTGGTCGGAGCACAGGCCCGGGGTGCAGGCTCGATCCGCACTTGGGGGCTTGCAGGAGGCCGCCGATCAATGATTCTCATGATTGATGTTTCTCTCTCTCTCTCTCTCTGAAATTAATATATTTTTTTAATTAGCTATGAAAAAAAGCTCCGAAATTCACCGACTTTTGAGTCCCACCCGTGGCTGCCCAAGTTAAAAAGTACACAGCCCGCCCGCTTTCTAGGGCAGGCGAGGCGCGTGAGAAACGTGGGATCCCCGTCGCATAACCNCGAGTCCCACCCGTGGCTGCCCGAGTTAAAAAGTACACAGCCCACTTTCTAGGGCAGGCGAGGCGCGTGAGAAACGTGGGATCCCCGTCGCATAACCGCCGTCTGGTTAGACGTTGCTGAGAAATTTTTAACTGGGAACCTGCACGGACGGGACATAGCCCGACCTGACCAGCATGGGGTTGAATTAATACACCGAACGTCGCCGTTTCTAGAGACCTTCGCACCGCTGCGCTATTGAAAGCAGAAGGCCGCTCTGCCCAGGCCTGCGTCTCACGGCCTCAGTCCGGGTGTCACAGAATCACCGGACGACCCGCGTGGGCCGTCTGCCGCCGCGGGTGTTGGAAGGAAAGGGGGGGCTCCTATTTCTGCTAAAAGCTGTGGGCCCCCCGACCACGAAGTGCAACCGTCGTCTAAATCACCCCTTGTTTGCGTCTCTAAAACGCTCGCAGCGGTTCAAGGCTCCAACAGAAACGCAGTAAACTCCCGAAAGACTCGAGCCAGTGGAACCGTTCCCTCTCATGTCCAGCTCACCCTCCCGAGCGCGATCTTGTTCTCAATTCTATTATTTTTTGACAGACGCGTCCCTTTATATGAGGCACGTAGACCAAGGACCAGCACCTACTCACGCCGGCTGTCACCTGCCAGTTGGCGCTACCAGACTGAAAATCAAGACGTAATAAAACGATTAGGCCGTCCGTCGGAGTACTGACCGTCTGTGCGATGCTCACGAGACACAGCGGAACAAATGGAATGTTCGAAACAGGAGGAAAAAATATAAATAAAATAAAATAAAATAAAATAAAATAAAATAAAATAAAATAAAATAAAATAAAATAAAGTAAAATAAAATAATAAAATAAAATAAAAAATAAAATAAAATAAAATAATAAAATAAAATAAAATAATAATAATAATAAAATAAAATATAAAATAAAATAAAATATAAAATAAAATAAAATAAAATTAAATTAAATTAATAAAATAAAATAAAATATAAAATAAAATAAAATAATAAAATAAAATAATAAAATAAAATAAAATAAAATAAAATAATAAATGGGTTATAGGAGATGCCACGCACCGGGCGTGGGTGACAAAGCCCTGTGGGCAGACGCCCCCCGAGACGCGTGAGCGGCGGGTGCTTTCCGCTTGAGTGGGGCACTTACCGTCCTCCGTGGGCACGTAGATGTTCAGATAGAGACAGTCTTCGTTCTGGTCCTGCACGTAGGTCATTAACGTATCCAGGTTGGCGGTAAACCACACGGGAAGCATGTCGTGCAGCAGGGACCTCTCATCCAGGTGCTGGGGACACACGGCCGCAAACTGGGTGGCGTTGCGAACCCCGGTCCACGAGGAGGGGGGCTCGGGCGGCTGGAACCGCCTCTCTCCCGTGGGGGGCGAGGCATAGGGGACCCCCAGGTACTGCTCCACCGGCCCCAAAATCTCATTGGGCAACGGCGTTCTCAGGCCTCGGATCTTGCCGTAATTGGTGTTGACCACGGGGTACTGGGCCTGGCCGTCGATGAGCGTGAACTTGATGGCCAGGGCGGTGATCCACAGGAGCGCGTTGGAGTTCACCATGACGCAGGCCGGCGTGAGGAACAGAGGAAGCCATACCAGTCCCCGGGGTCTGGACATGGTTCACAGCCACATCCGGGGGCGTCCGGGAGGCACGACTCCAAGCAGACAGGGCCGGGCAGCCAGCCGCAGGCGCTAAGGGCTTTCCGGGGAGCCGGGCACCCGGCAGAGGCGGTGGGCTCGGGAGGAAGCCTCGTGCGTGGGGCATAGACAGAGATGCAGGTCAGGCGCACACCCCGCGGTGCTCTGGGCAGCCCATGGCGGGCAGCAGCCTCCTGGCAATCCTGGAGCCCGACTGCGGCGAGGGCGAGGCTCCGAGGAAGCGGGGACCCTCCGACTCCTGCCCGGGGCGAGGATTCCTTAGGGAGACTCCAGGGCCGAGCAGTCAGCCTGACGGGGAGAGAAAGCAACAGAGATCATGAGACCAAGGCCCCGGCCAGCTGCGCCCTTAGCTCTTCCATGCCTCCTTCCACCCCACGATGAAATTATTTTTTTTTTAAATATGTTTTCAGCCGGGCCAGGCGTGGCTCAGCGGTTGAGCGTCGACCTAGGATCCAGGCGATTGGGGTTCGATTCCCGGTCAGGGCACGTGCCCAGGTTGTGGGCTCGATCGATGACTCTCTCATCATGGATGTTTCTATTTCTCTCTCTCCCTCTCCTTTCCTCTCTCTGAAATCAATAAAGA